TATCAGAAGCAACTCTAAATTCGTAAGCTGCTTATATGAGTATGATTTCATTTCCTCCTCAATTTTGAAAATCTTATCTAATTACTCATTTTTTTAATCCACCGTGTTTGTTAAATTTTGGTAAACACACAGTGTCTTTCACATTCAAAGTTCTGAGAAACTTGAACCAACAAGTTCAAGCTTTCTCTTTTTTTTTTTTTCTTTATTGTTTTAAAGTATTTATTTTAAATGAGGATGTAAATATTCAGTGCAGATGGCCTCTTCCTCCCCCATGGAGAGGGAATCTGTTTCTTTTGCAACATGTCGAAGTTTTACCAGCCTGGAATGTGGAGGAGTCCTTGAGGTAGCTGCCAAACAAGAGTCCAAGCCTTCAGGCACACTTGGATCTTTTCACTTCTAAGTAAGGCCATCATTAAAACATGAGCAGACATAATCGTAACAAAGCGCTGGGCAGACTGCAGGCAGGTCTGGATGTCCTTAAGCATAAGGATTTGTAATATTTTGGCCTGCTCTTCATTGGTTTCTTTCTCCAGATCTCCATGCACAGTACCAAAATCAGGGATTTTAGCCTTGCCTTTTAGAATAATTAAGTCACTAGTTTATAGGGGTCACAATGAAAAGTAGCACATTGCAGAGCTGAGAATACCCATGTGACTCCATTATGAATCCACAGTGTTTAATTTAGGCTCTTAAATTTAAATTAAAGTAACATAATGAAGCCTCACTTTATAGGTGTGGGGTATACCAAAACTGGACTGCTTTCAGTGGGAGCTCAGTTACTTTGAAAAATCAGACAATTAAATATGACTTCCAGGAAGCACATCTGAAAGCTTTACTGTCAGTCTTCTGACTGTCATACCGTTTTTTAGAATTTAAAACTAAATTTTGTCCCCTCGGAGGAATCACTTTTATCAGTAAAGGGTAACTATCCAACACTCTTAGCTTTTTCCAAGACTTTAATTTGCAGATGAATAAAATTCAACGAAATTAGAGCAAGAATTACTGATAAAAATATAAGATAAAACCTCTCAGCCTTTTTATGGTCATTACAGACCATAGTGGAGCTAAAAATGCTCACAGGAGCACAGCAAGTAGGATTGGTTAGAAATTTTCTATAAAAATTATTTCTCTCAATGAAATGCAGGTATAGCATCATGAGGAATTTAATGGAGTTTGCATATCGTCATCTGTGAAGAAGAATATACTAATCAGGAATCCAAAGTAGAGATCCTATGAGACACTGGAGAGCCATTTTCCCTATTTTTCCCCCACAGGAAATACAAACTTGAAAAAAAAAATGTTGTATTTGATGATTACTTGTATATGACAGGTTAAAAAGTAGATCTGTAGGGGAGACAGGCTCCTAATTCCCTGCAAATAATCCTTCTCTTGAAAGCATTGCTTTTCAGATAAGAGTTTAGTATCCTGTTCTGACAAAATGCCAATTACTGGTGTGTCAATATGAGCTGAGTGTCCAGGTGCTGCTGTTGCTAGTGAGGATCTAGACAAGATCTTTAAGGATGATATAGCTGAGTAAAGATAAGCATGTGGTGTCTTTCTAAATGCTATGAGGTATCCCATGAGTACATTACTTCTTTAAAAGGGTGCTGGTCTCTTGTAAGCCTTCTGCATTATCTGTCAACCTGGGCAACTCAAATGACCATAGACACTGATGTGTAGAAAATTGATTTAAACTCCTTTTGACTATAATTGGACTTTAGACACAGCTGCTGTATAAACATACTTGTAGACCCCTATACTTAGAATCACAGAATGCCGAAGGTTGGAAGGGACCTCAGAGGTCATCGAGTCCAACCCCCCTGCTCACGCAGGGTCACCTAGAGCACGTGGCACAGGGCTGCATCCAAGCGGGTTTTAAAGATCTCCAAAGAAGGAGACTCCACAACCTCTCTGGGCAGCCTGTTCCAGTGCTTTGTCACCCTCACAGTGAAGAAATGCTTCCTTAAGTTCCTGTGGAACTTCCAATGCTTCAGTTTGAAGCCATTTCCTCTAGTCCTATCCCTGCCCACCACTGAAAAGAGGCCGCCCCCTCCTCCTCACTGCCTCCCTTGAGGTATTTATACACGCTGATCAGGTCCCCCCTCAGCCTCCTCTTCTCCAGGCTGAACAGACCCAGCTCTCTCAGCCTTTGACTTAAATATCTTAATATCAGACTTTGTTCCATCCTGGTGTTTTCTACAGTTTTTATTCATCATTTGAGAATATTTTTTGGATATATTTTTCTGCACAATCTTTTGTATTTTTTTTTTCATCTAGTGGAAATGTTTTTTTTTCAGATATTGCGAACTCTTAAAACTGAATAACTAGTTTCTCTTGCATGCAAATTTGTAAATATTTAATTAATCTCTCAATAGTAACCGTATTCCAAAATAAGAACCCAGAAGACCCAAAAGTGGTGTAAAAATCATGCAACATTAAAACACTAGTAATGTTTCATTTGGGCTTCCTTTAATAGTTTTCTGGTATTTYATGTTTATTTGCATTTTCAGTGATTTCTCTGGAGTTATGAAAGCAAGAAATGATAAAATGCAAACCAGAATCTTCTTGAAGTCATCTGATTCCCAAATTCTGGACTTAAAAATCACTAAAAATACTATTATTTGATTACTACTGGTGATGTTGTAATGTCACTATTAAAACATGACTTTGAATGACTATTTTTTCCTGATATGTCAGAGATATCTCAAAAAAAGTCAAATTTAGAGCCATATGCTTTTACATGTTTTTAATGCCCAAGAAAAAATATTGAAGGCTTTTTTTTGGTAATAGCAAATCCAAACTCTGAGAGTCTAAGTTTCAAACATTGCATGATATCGTTAACTGATATCTGCAAAAGAATCCTTGTAAATATTTAATTACCATTTTCATATCATTACTAACTGGGATAAACATAATTTCCTCCTTTGAAAAGTGCCTGGAGACTGGTGGATAAACATCCTAAAAGCTAGTTATTTAGTAATTGATATTGCCTTTAGGAGACTGTTCTTAAAAGACTGGACTACTCCTAGTCTGAAGTGGGAGAATATCTCCAAACTGAGCTCTCATTTTGATTTGGACCCCCATAAATCTGGTATATTCTCTAGGATACCATAATTCCTAGCAAACAGGATTCCTATTTCTAGCAGAGACAGAAAGAAAACTGAAAGAAGTTTTGAAGCCTTTCTCCTGTTTTTTTTTTTTTTTTTCCCTACTTCCAGCATCCTGTAAATTGTCCGTGTCCTATACAGTATCTTTTGCTCTGGACACTATATCATTGTTTTCCATTCATTTCTAAAATTCCTGGGAAGACTCAGAAACCAAAGTGCAAAGGAAAAGGAATCTCTTGCTCACTAAAGTGAAATGTTCTCATTTTCTGACCTACATGCATTTCTCTGCATTAGTTTGGAGCTTACTGGCATAGTGCCTCAAACAGCCAGAAGGTCATCATAAAGACAAGTTCTTAAGTGCCCTGGAATGGAAAAGAATTTTGTTTTATTTTGTTTTGTTTTAACAAATCATTATAATCTGATTTTTTTTCTCACTTAAGGACAAGATGAAATACTGATTTCTCAAAAACGACAGTTAACTCAAAAGTCAGATTCTTTTCCTATCCCTGTCTTCTTTATTCAGAATTGAAATAATTGAAATAAGTTTTTTTAAACTTTTCAAACTTAAAATTATTTTAACTTTAAAATAATTTGCCATTTATATATATATATTTTTTTTTACATTATGTTTGGGGGACTGTAGATTTTTTTTTCCTTTTTTGGACTTAGAACACATCAAAATGAGCCACTATAACAAAAATTTTATTGTCCAGACAAGGATGTACAGGGCTATTTGAGATGTTCTATACTTTATATGACTATGTCACACTCTACATGTAATGTTTAGGCTGACAGAACTGAAGACACCTGTCTAAAATCAAGCCTCTAGTGCCATTCAAGATGTCCTAGCATAGCTGAGACATCCTCACAAAGCTGATTTCTCTGACAAGGGATCTTTAGGAAACCTCCATGCTTCTTCTGACTCAAGAGCATTCCAATTCACTATAGGTACCTGTATGTGTGCTGAAATGCTCCTCTAAACTGAGAGACCAGCGCACTGCAACTCTGCTTGGCAACTGGATTAATAAATCATTTCAGTAATTGTGAGCAAGAAACACCACTGACATTCAGCTACTTTGCAGTGCAGCATCTCAGTGTTGTCTTGAGAAAACTCCTTGTTTGGGCAAAAAGTGCCTTGGGATAAATTTACACTAGTAAATTCAACACCACAATGGCAACTCTGTTGGAACTTGGTTATTTTTACTATTAAATTGTTAGAACAGTCCCCAACTGAATTATCTCTCTCCAAAATATTTCCTTGGCATTTGGGGGACATTAGCATTGGCCAATGACCATTCCCAACAGGCAATTTGGGCTCCTCGCTGTGGCTGTTCAGAAGGCCTAGCATAGCCACTGTCAAATTGTTCTAGTTGCTATGAGAGTCAAAGATTGCACCTTGGCATTGCTCCACTCCCAGTACAGATGCAGCCATATGTTCATGCATAATAACCAGAACTTGTTGTTTAAGAGTCTGATCTGGGAGCCTGAATAAGCTGCATACAACTAGTTTTATATACCTGAGAAGGAGGAAGTCATCCCTTCTGGGAATGAAGCAGTTCCAACGCTAGAGAGCCTAGGGCACAGATCCTCTCCTAGCCCCTCTGAAGTCAACAGTGCTGTGTCAATCCACATCAGCTGARGATCTGTCTCAGGGTGTTTCTGAGCTGATACTTTTACCAAAAAACAACCTTTGAAGCTGTATGTAGTCTGCTCTACTGCTCTTCTCTTTTCTGTTTCTCCCACAGGTAATAAATAGTTTAGGGAGCAAATCTTGAAATTCAYTGTAGCAATGTCAGTGTACTGTAAACTTTTCAATGTATGTGAGTGCATATATATTTATGTGTGTGTGTGCACTTCTTTCTTTTTCTCTCTCTGTCTCTCTCCCATTTGTAGTTTGATCACTCATGGTTTTGGAACTCCTGCAATATGTGCTGCCCTAAGCACTTTCCAAACTGTTCTCAGTGAAATGCTGAACTACTTGGAAAAGCACACATCGCACAAAAACGGAGGAGCGGCGGAATCCGGCCAAGGACACGCCAACTCGGAGAAAGCCCCCCTGCGGAAAACTTCAGAGGCTGCTGTGAAAGAGGGCAAAACAGAAAAGACAGACTAGCTACATCAAACAGAATCTATTTCAAGAGAGTCTTGCTGCTGATATTTTTTTTAAATATATATATCATTGAGGGTGATTTATCTCCAGTGGACCAAATCCAAAAAAAGGGGTAAAAAAAAAGAAAAAAGAGAAAAAAGAAAAAAGAAAAAAAAAGAAGGAAACGAGAATAAGAAAGATTAAAAGCAAGAGAGAGAATGAGAGAGGAAAGTATTCAACCCTAGGAACAGCAGTGTACAGTAAATGTGTGATGAAATTGTCACTTTTTAAAATTTATGTTGCTCTAAACTTTTTTCGTGCACGTAGTATTTGATTGTTCTGAATGATACACTAACACTCTTTTTTATAAGCACTTCTGGACTTGGCTGAGGTGGCACAGTGAAATTTGTCACAGGCTAATTCGAAGCACTTTTCTCCGGCAGCATAGTTAGGGCCAGCGTATGTGTGGTGAGGGACATGGTTCCAGCATGATGGCTTTGCTCAAACGCTGGCTAGATTGAAAGGTCTTCCTCTGATCCATCAGAAAAGCTTGATCCACTCACCGCTGGGAAACATTATGGAAACCTGGCAAGAGAGAAATCTTCGGGTTGTCGGATGAATGAACTGTTCAGCGTTGGGGACTGCATACCCTGACATAGGAATGTACAATAAAGCTGCACTGAAATGAGGCCATAATCCATTGGGAAATTGTCCTGACCATTCAAGAAGCAGCTATGGTGTCTCTTGTGAGAAGAACATCACAGACTAAGGTGAAAAAAGATAAAGACAGTTTCAGTAATAGCCCTGATCCTTCTGTGAACTTCAGATTAAATGACAGCATGGGCTTCTGTTCTCTCTCTTCTCACCCCCTGGTCCCACAACACTGCAAATTGCTGTATCTGGGTCTCTGTTCAACTGGATCAATGCAGATAATTGGARTCACTTTTTGTGTTCCCTTGATTTTATGATGCTTTGTTTTCTTCAACAACTTGTTTCTGCAGCTTTGTTGTCTTTAGAAATCCATCTGAGGTGTAGAGTTTTAACAGAATCCACTCACACACAGAAAAAAAAAATAGAAAACTAAGACAGATGGGCTTGGTCCAAAGCAGTTAAAGGGTTAATAACCTTGCTCTTTTGCTACTGAAATATTACTACCTACCACACACTCTAACCAAGAGAACATTTGAGGCATACTTTGAGCTCAAGCTTCTTTGAGCCTGGAGGCATTTTCCTAGCCACATTCTAACTCATCCTTTCACAACAGTCTTATTCCACTCCTTTTCTTGTTTCTATGAAAAAAAAAATATTGAGAAAGTTAGAAATGATTGGTGTTATAGGGTGGGATTATGCTGGTCATCTAAAYTCCCTTTGAAGTCAACAGAACCAGAACTTTTCTTCTAAACGACAATTCCTCTCATGCTACCGTAAGACAACATATAGCTGCCACATGTAAGTGCTTAACACCATTGAGATGTGTTGAGATATCTAAGATAGCCACAGGGTTTTTGCAGGTATGACATGAAACCTATAGGAGATAAGGACTGTTCTGGAGCAGGAACTGRAATATCCCAGAAAACAGTAGCAGGCAGATACCTCTGGGTAATCAACTGAAGCCCACACCAAGGCAGGTAGGAGGAATCGTGTAAGAAGGTAAGCACCTTCTTATCCACAGGTAATAGCAGGAATTTAATAGTGGCATTTTCCATTGTGCATGGACTAGTCATCTTCCTCATAATCAATGGAGAGGAAAAGGTACTTACAGGGTGAAGGTGAATTTTGTCCCAAAATAATGATGAACCATGCCCTGGAATTGTGTTTTCTCAGCTAGATATAAAGGATCCAAAGGATAAAAGTGTTCATAGACAAGTGACTACACTGTACGTATATTTTTAAAGCAATTTATGTTGTATTACATCTTGGATGAACACATTCAGATTCACAAACCTGGGGGATGTGAAGACTATCCAAAGGCATTTGCAACCATGTTGTAGGGAGCCAGGCTCAATTAACAAGKTCAAAGCAATTATGACATGATGCTGTTCCCCTTGACATCAGTAGGAAGTTCCATCAACTAAGAAATATATTTGGAGTTAAATTTGCTTGTGTAAAGAAATCTGCAAATCATATGGAACCTTGTGGTTTGGCCTAGCTTTGTCCTACCTATGGTAGCTATATAACTGAAATGTCTACTTAGAGGGACCTAGGCTCCCTCTGTATGCAGTAGATGTGTCTCCACGGGACTCCACCTCCTTAACTCACTAAGATCAGCTAAGTGCCTAACAGAACTCAACCTTTACTGAATGAATTTTTCACTTTGGCAACTCTGGAAAAGTGCTAAAATCAAATACATGTTCCCCAGTGATGTTTKTAAAAGAAGCATTGTGATATTACTCTAGAACATGAGATAACTGAAAGTGAAAGTAGCTCACCACTGTCTGACAGTGAAAAAGAAACTCATACTTCTATTTCTATTGTCCCGACTGAGGGGAGGCAGGGAAGAAAAGGAAAGTGGAAGGAAAAAATTAAATATTTGACTGTGTCAGATCCACTGATTTGCCACATGAAAAATGTAGTGTAAAGCTATTTAATTGTGATCGTCTTCAAAATATGAAGAATTTAAAGTAGATTTCAAGGCAGAGGGAGAGAAGGAAAAAAAATTATCACTAAAATATCAAACTCTTGGAGACAGGGGGAATGACCCAATATGTAGATTATTCTGTAAAACTTTTGAGAAAGCCAAATTATTTTATTATTATCCTATTCAAATGTCTAATCTTGGAAATAACATGTATACAGTATTGCTTGGAATATTCAGCTTTTCTGAGTATATTCCAACGTCCTTACAATGATTTATTTAAAGGTTTACATCCTCTGCTGTTCTACAGGTACTTTTAGCTTCTGCTCTTCAGCTCACAAAGTATTTTTAACCTGGATTAACTTTGATCTATTAATATTAATGAAGTTGAGCACTGCTGAACTCTCTTAGCTTCCAGTCCTGTCATATCTACAGATTTTTTAGGAAGATTTCATTACAGATTTTATCCAAGCTGACTGAATTCCCTGAGATTCTTASCATTCATTAAGAAGCTACCTGTCCTTGCATCCTGATCTTTGCCCTGCTTTTCCTTTAATAACTTCACACCTTTTGAAAGTAAGACACTTTTAAAAAGGTACTTGCAAAGTTTGTTGTCATTCACATGATCTCTGTGATATTTCTTATCTGTAGATATATTTCATTGAGAGGAAAAATAATTATTACAATACAGTCTTTTGTGTTGAACTACTTGTCAGAAGCACCTTCGCGTCAAAATATCTTTGGTTTTTTGAAAATGGAACTTTCAGTGAGGCTTTAAGCAATGAATTAACTGATGTTCCTCTGAAAATTCAGTCTGAGTTCTTTCCCACTTTCCACACATGCAAGCACAACATTCCCATTGCTTTTTTAATGTTTTTAATCCTTGTCCCTGTGGAAATGTAGCCATCTCAGAACACATTCATGAATTAGTTCAGCCTGAAGGAAGGGCATGGTTTGAAGTTACTGGGTGGCAAAATGAAGAATATTTGTATCTTTTTGACTTTCAAATAAATCTGGTCTGGAAAAAAAAGTTCTCCTTTTGAGAGATGATGAAATTATTTATTCTATTCAGGTCAAAAAAGTAGGCAGTACAGAAAATTGTCCATACTTGCATCTCAAATCAGTGAATCACTGAGTGTTGTAAAAGTCAAAAATGGACTCACTGGACACATAGTTCAAGTGTTGGCTAACTGTTGGAATTTCAGTCCATTATCCAACTTTACACATTTCAGCAGTAGTCTAGCTTTCCCTCCACAGATCTCAAAACACAGTAAGAAGGTCCCACAACTTACTTTGCATACACTAACATAATACTACATATTAGTACCAAAAAACACACTACATTGACTCAGAAAAGTCAGCTCTTGCTACTCACACTTATTAGCAACTCACTCATGAGGTAGACTCACTGACTAACCACATGTATAGAGCAAGGTGTTATTCACAGAGCATAAGGTGAACACAAAGAGCAGCTGTAGTGACTAASTTTTGAAGGTGAGCACCTGGCAGAGCTGGGTACCACCGGTCACCTCAGAGCTGAGGGTGGCATTCTCACTTCCAGGCACAGCTGTATGTTGTGGACCTCTATTCACACTAACTTCCATTAGTACCATTTAAAAGTAGAGAAATGTAGCAAAAGGAGAGTTTTATGCAGATGACAAAAGAATGGAAATATTCATATAGCCGTAAAGGGGAATAAATCACAAACAAGTGCTGATGATTCTTCCACCTTCAGCTGAAGACAGACATGAGTTTTGTCCTTCATACTGCAACACAGAGCAGTTTGCTGCCATCCAAAATCCTAATTCTTTCCATGTGTCATTCTGTTGCCTTGGAGAACTGGTACAAGGGATGAATTTGAACTCTTCTTTTTTAAAGACAAAATACAGTATCCATTGGGAGAAGACTTTATCTCATCAAATCAACGAGTCCAGTCTTTGAAATTTCTCTTTAATTTTTGCTAAAAGCAAATAAATAAACAAACAAACAAATAAATAAATAAATAAATAAATAAATAAATAAATAAAATCTACTACAAAGCAAGCACAATGTACAGTCCTTCCAAATCCTGGACTTCTCTGTAAATACCTCCCCAGCTCATCTCCTCCTTTGAACATGACTCACTGGCACAACTGTGGCTCACCAGTTTGCAGCAAAGCTCATGAGGGTCTGCTTTAATGTCCTGAAAGCCATGTTCTCTAACTACTTTTCATTAATACAAATAAACAAGTTTTGGTCTTAGATATCTTGGGTACCCAAAAGAGCTGCTGGTGAATTCCAAGGTCATCTGACTTTCTTTTACCCTTTGGAGAGACAGCTCTGCTGCTCTTACAAGGTCAAGAAAAAAACAGCATTGGTAGAAGATAAAAGCCTGAAACACAAGAAAAATCAACTAACATAATTATACAGGAACTGTAATTATAAAAATATTCTCCACCTCTGACCTCATTACAGGTTCTACAAGACTTCAAGTATAGCTGTGTGGGGAATGGGGGAGAGAAGAAGATAATGCTATTTTCCTTTGCCAG